TTTCCATGGACCGTTATTCTAGAAATCTTTTCAACTAGTATCTATTGTGCTTCCTGATATTTATACAGAAGAACAGTATCCCACCATAGGAACGTTCCATGGAACAATTAAGCTGCCCCTACTCAGAAAATGTGGAGAAGGCAGTGGCATCCCACTCCAGTACTCTTGCCTGGGAAATCCCATGGACAGAGGAGCCTGGTGGGCTGCAGTCATGGGGTCGCTAAGAGTGGGACACGACTGAGTGACTTCACTTTCATGCTTTGAAGAAGGAAATGGCAACCCACTCCAGTGTTCTTGCCTGGAGAATCCCAGGGATGGGGGAGCCTGGTGGGCTGCCATCTATGGGGTCGCACAGAGTCAGACATGACTGAAATGACTTAGCATCAGCAGCAGCACTGGGAAAACTTTGGACTTCCCTGGTGAAGCAGCAGTAAAGAATCCACTTACAATGCAGGAGACACGGGTTCAATCTCTGGATTAGGAAGATCACCTGCAGAATGAAATGGCAACCCACTTCAGTACTATTCTTGTCTGGGAAATCCCAGGGACAGAAGGGCCTGGAAAGCTATAGTCAGTGGGGTCTCAAAACAGTCAGACATCACTTAGCAACTAAACAATAACAATAACAACTTACGAATCTTTAGATCAGTTTCTATCATTTGTTCTCAGAAAAAATTCAGCAATCAATAATCCTGTATGACTGCCAACCATGGGACAAAGTTTTATAGATAGGAAATGCAAAGCAGAGGAAGTAGGATTTTGACTCTGTTGTTGTTTTTGCTCAGTCACTAAGTCATGTCTGACTCTATGCAACCCCGTAGACTGTAGCAGGTCAGGCTTCCCTGACCTTCACTATCTCCTGGAGTTTACTCAAATTCATGTCCATTAGTTTGGTGATGCCATCCAACTGTCTTATTCTCTGCCACCCCACTCTATTCTTGCCCTCAATCTTCCCCAGCATCAAAGTCTTTTCCAATGAGTCGGTGTTTGCATCAGGTGGCCAAAGAATTGGAGTTTCAGCTTCAGCATCAGTCCTTCCAATGAATATTCAGAGTCGATTTCCTTTAATTGACTGGTTTGATCTCTTTGCTGTCCAACAGACTCTCAAGTCTTCCCTAGCACCACACTTTGAAAGCATCATTTCTTCAGAACACAACCTTTTAATGGTCCAGCACTCACATCCATACATGACTACTGGAAAAGCCATAGCTTTGACTATAAGGATGTTTGTCAGCAAAGTGATGTCTCTGCTTTTTAATACACTGCCTAGGTTTGTCGTAGCTTTTCTTCAAGGAACAAGCATCTTTTAATTACATGGCTGCAGTCACAGTCTGCACTGATTTTGGAGCCCAAGGAAGTAAAATTTGCCAGTTTCCATTTTTTTCCCCATCTGTATGCCATGAAGTGATGGGACTGTATGCCATGATCCTAGTTTTTTGAGTGCTGAATTTCAAGCCAGCTTTTTCACTTTCCTCCTCCACCTTCATTAAGAGGCTCTTTAGTTCCTCTTAAATTTCTGCCATTAGGGTGGTCTCATCTGCATATCTGCGTTTGTTGATATTTCTTATGGCAGTCTTGATTCCAGCTTGTGATTTATCCAGCTCAGCATTTTGCATGATGTATCCTGAAAATATGTTAAATAAGGAGGGTGATAAAATACTGCCTTAATGTACTCTTGTCCCAATTTTGAACCAGTCAGTTGTTCCATGTCTGGTTCTAACTCTTTTTCTTAAAATGCATACAGGTTTCTCAGAAGGCAGGTAAGGTGGTCTGGTATTCCCATCTCTTTAACAATTTTCTACAGTTTGTTGTGATCCACACAAGCAAAGGTTTTGGCATGGTCAATGAAGCAGAAGTAGATATTTTCTGGAATTCCCCTGTTTTCTCTATGATCCAATGGATGTTGAAAATTTGATCTTTGGTTCCTCTGCCTTTTCTAAATGCAACTTGTACATCTGAAAGTTCTCAGCTCATGTATTGTTGAAGTCTAGCTTGAAGGATTTTTGAACAGAACCTTACTAGCATGTGAAATGAGAACAACTGTATGGTAGTTTGACCATTCTTTGGCATTGCCCTTTTTTGGGATTGGAAAGAAATCTGATTTTTTCTAGTCCTGTGGCCACTGCTGAGTTTTCTTTCCCTCAGTCTTCCCCAGCATCAAGGTCTTTTCCAATGAGTGGGTATTTGCATCAGGTGGCCAAAGAATTGGAGTTTCAGCTCGAGCATCAATCCTTGCAATGAATATTCAGGGAATATTCAATACCAAAATTTGCTGGTATTGAGTACAGGACTTTGACTCTTTGAGTGTTGCCAAATTTTGTCCCCATGGGTTCTACCACTTTGTGTCACTCCCACTGTTTTTCTACACATTTTTTAAGCTTTTGTGATTTTGAGCCAAACGGTCTGGCTCCAGAGTCCACACTTTTAATCACTAGGCTATCACAACTCCAAAGAATAATGACAAGATGCTTACTATTTTTCTCAGTGCTAGGGATATAGAAGAGAATAAGATGAATAAATTCCCAGCTCTCAAGAACTCACATCATAAGGGAATTTCCAATAATGGAAATCAACAAATGATGAAATAGATATGCAAGGTCAGGTGGTGACAAGTGTGTGAAGACAGAACAAGTAGAACTCTGTAAGGAAGACCTCTTTGGGGAAGTGGTATTTTGACAGACCTGAGTGACTGTGAGTGAGAGCCATTTTAGTAGGTGGAAGGACATTCTGGGACGAGAATGTGCATGTGCCAGTGCCTTGAGCTGGGAGCCTGTGTGAAGCACTGGAGGTACAGACATATGGCGTGTGATGCTGGAGGGAAGTGATGGCTGGAACCTGGAGAGATGAGGGGTAAAAGTGGCCAGGGAGAAAAATGGCATTGGCCTGGAACGATAAGATCAGGGCTTGAATTTCTTTCTAAGTGAGAGGGCTAATAGCAGAGTGTTTTGAGAGGAACAAGACATGACAATAGTTTAAAGGTCCACTCTGGTTGTGTGTGCAGTGCAGCAAGTGTGGGGTCTGGGCATGTGTTGCAAGGCCCCAGCAATTCTAGATAAAAGTGAAAATGGTGGATGTGGTGAGAAGGGGGCGGATCCATGAAATATTATGGAGAGTTAGCAGGATTTACTGATGGGTCAGATATGAATCTGAGCAAAAGATGAATAAGGATTTTGGCCTGAGTACCATGGAAAATGAGGCACCATGTCCTGAGACAGGGACCACCAGGGAAGAAGCAGGCTTGAGGGTCAGGCATGAAATTTGAGTTTGAGATGCAGTGGGAACTTCACGTGGGACTCTCAAGTAGGCAATTTTACACATGAGTCTGGAATTCAGAAAAAGGTTTGTGTAAACAAGCAAGTGGCCCAGGCAGCTAGGTCTGGGCTTCAGAAAGTCATAGTCAGGAAGAGGAGGCTGAGAAGGAGTGGCCAGTGATGCAGGGTGAAAGTCAGGAGACTCTGATATCCAGCAATCCAGGTAAAGAAGGTTTCTTGAAAAAAGAAACTGCCAAAAGTCAGTAAGGTGAAGACAGGCATCAGCCCACTGGGATTGTCCACGTGGAGCTCATGGCCACCAGAATCTATAGGCCTCAGCTTAGTCATCCTTCCTCAGAGGGGCCTCACTGCCCCTTCAGTGCCCTCCTCCCCTCCCAGCACGCTGTACTGTTTTAGGTGGAGGACCACTGAAGAAAGTGCTGTTTTCACTGTATCACATCAAGGGTACATGTTACCAACATGACGTACCGTGGAGGATGCTGATCTTCATCACCTGGCTGAAGGGAGTCTTCCCCAGGCTCATCCACTGTGAAGTTACTTCTTCCCTTTCTCCATACTTTTCATGAAAAGGTTTGGGGTCACAGAAATCTTCCCACAAAAAAGTGTTTTAATTGGGTAGGAAGTTTCAAAATGAGGGAGGAAAAGCCCCCTACCATGACCATTGTGAGGTCTGTGCCAGCAGGCCACCTTATTGTTGGAAAGAGACCCTGGTCACAGGAAGGGGCTGTCTTGGGCCCCTTTTTTGGCATATGCCCTCAGACTTATTTTAATTGAATAACTTGGCATTCCCCTTGATAGACCAGGAGTTAGATAGACGGGGCTGCTCCTGCGGGGTGTGGACTCTGACAGTTCTCTGGTGTGGGGTCTTTAGTCTCAAGAGAAGAGACCATAGCCTGATCCTCAGTAGGTAGCAGTGAGTCTGAAGCAGCCAAGTCTGTGCCTAGGAGGGGACTGTAGACATCTCTCCCTGCCCCTCTGTGATAGCAGGTACAGGGCTGGCAGAGTCTTAAGGGAAGTGGTGGGTGGGATGCAGACAAGAGCCCATCAGATCCTGTGGGGTCTGGCTTTGCCCTGTGTGTAGGGAGCATGCCTAACACTAGTGAAAGCCATAAGGCAGGGAAAACCATAAAGTTGCAAGCAATAGATAAATGCTGACAGTTACATTGGTGGTATGGGAAATGAACTTTGTTCTTTTGCTTATAATTTCTTACTTAGGCAAGTGACAGTTGAAGCTTATGGAAAACCAAACTCACCAAATAGTATGAAGACATAGGAGACAACACCAAAAGCCGCAGACTTGTGACCTACCCTGGCTGAAATAGCATGAGTTCTGTGCCTTGACCACAGGCTGCTTTGGATGAGCATGGCTATCTGGGCTGAGCTGTTCCCACGGGTAACAGGTAAGGGGAGTCTAAGGATTGCTAGTATGGGGAGTGTGAGATTAACAGTCTGGTAGGACTACAGGATGGGCATCTCCAACATAGTGAAGCAGTGCAGTATTTTACTCTGCAATTGTTTATTGACGTCCTACTGTAGATGCTGGCAATAGTAATAGGAAACCTCTGAGTGGCTTAGTACAGGCTGGTGGACTGCAAACCAGAACTAACATGCTAGCCCCGCCCTGGGGTGGAGGATAGCATAAATGCCCTTTGAGTGACACTCCCTCCTCTCTTTCTGCTCCTTCTAGATGCTTCCACTGCAACTGCACAGGGTGTCAGGCAGACTGAGATGGGGCCCTGCTCAGAAGACCCCCACCTCTACTGGGCCTCCAGGTTCCTGGGATTCATCAGCCTCCTCCTCAGTGAGTGGCCCAGGCTCCTGGGAGGGAGGGCCTTTGGGTGGAACAGGGAGGCAGGGTGCCTTTTCTCTGCCTAATGTCCTTGGTGAACAAAAAGAAATAACAACTTTGTAATTATTTAGCAAATGCAGTGCATTTGGTTTAGAGTTCTGTGGTGACCAGGAGAGCAAAGTGACCTTCTGGTTGTGGCAAGTTTAGGACACCTGAGCTCAGGCAGCTTTCACTATTTAAGGGAAACATTTGAGGGAGGTAAGGCTGTCTCTGCGGTGGTAATGGGAAGTCTGGAGAACTCAGAGCTTCCTGCAGAGAGGGAGAGAGACTAAGAACCTGGCTCCTTGACTTGGACAGGCTGGGGAACAACCCAGAGGGAATCTGACAGTCTATGCTGCTGTCCTGTGGAGAAGGTGGTTGACTAGAACTCTGTCTGAGATGGAGAAAGCAACTGTAGTCTTGATTTCTTGGGAAAGATGCAGGATGTTAAATACAATGAAATGAAATTCTGCTTTTGTAAAAGGAACAGCAGCTTCTTAAGTTTAAGGGTTTCTGTATATCCACCTGTTGTAAGAATATGGCGAAACTATGGAAGGAATAATAGACTGGTAATGTGGGCTCTTGAGGTGGGTGAACTCGCGGAAAAGAGAAGAGAAAGGGATGTAGAAACTACAGGTAATTAAGTGAACAGTGAACTCAAGACTGGACAAAACCCTAATCACATACATGACTTCCTAGAAGATTATATGATTATGTATATGGAAATTAAATATAAACTAATGAGGAGATGCCCACTAAATTATGAAATCTGGAGAAAGTTGGAAAGCTTTTTTTGTTTTAGCATCCCAGCGACTAAATGAACTTGTAGGAGTTATATGAAAATTAATGAATTAGAGACTGTTTATAAAGAGATGTCTTGAATTAAGAATGAGCTTTGCAAAACATTACCTCCTTTTTAACATGAAAACTCTATGTCAACAGTAAAATGTAGACCTTCTCTACTCTTCAATTTTTTAAAGTGGAAAACTTTTTCTGTTATTTAGGGTTTTGTCTATAGTCTTTCGGGTTGGTAGATTACATAAGAGAGAGGGAGAAATGGACACAGTTTTAAGTTGATTTGTTAATGTTAAATTTTACATTATTTAAGTAAACTTTTACACTATCTTGTTTTTAACTACACTCTCCCTGACTTTCTTTTTTCTTCAGGATTAGACCTTTGATAGATCACAGCTCTTGCCCTCTTCCTTCTCTTTCAAAATCATCTTCCATCGTCCTCACAGGTGGGCTCACTATTCCCTTCTGAGTGGATCCTCTCTGTAGCCTGAGGGCTGAGCTTCCTCTCTCCCTGGTTCCTGTTTTTTTTTTTTTCTTCCCCCAGCAAGTCAGGAGTCTGGCTGGGTGGTTGTTTAACCCTCAGCTGGCAAGAAGTTCCTGCCCTGCTAAGACCTTCAAAGTTCTTGCTTCCTTGTTTCAAGAGAGGAAACCTGGAGGATGAGCCTCCAGGAGCTGCTCAGATCCTGGTGATGAGACAGCAGTGCTGGGATGGGGGCCCCCAGGGGGGACAGGGAAGGGTGAGGGAGCAGATGGGAGCTCCTGCAGGGGAGAAGTGCTGGGCTGGGAGCGGGGAGCCCTGGTGCCAGGAGTGGCTCTGCCCAGCACAAGTTCACCTCCTGAGAAGCTTCCTCTTCTGTGACAAGGGGGCTCTGGACAGATTCCCCCTGAAGCCTGACCTGGAGGAGATGCCTGATTAAATGAGTTAGTGATTAAATGAATACAAAGAAATATCTGAAACCCTTGGGCATATAAACACTAGCATGTGCTATTTTCTGCTTCCAGTGAGAGCTGGGAAGGAGAATAAGTATAGTAGGAGGGAGACAGAGAAGAAGGCAATGGCACCCCACTCCAGTGCTCTTGCCTGGAAAATCCCATGGACAGAGGAGCCTGCTAGGCTGCAGTCCGTGGGGTCACTAAGAGTCAGACACGACTGAAGCGACTTAGCAGCAGCAGCAGCAGGAGGGAGAAAGGTCTGAAATGATGAGATTTTATTGAATTGGAAAGAAAACTGGGACTGAGGAAGGCTGAGACCAATCATGGCAGATGAATCCTGTCCTGCTAGAAGAAGCAGATTGATCATCTTTTCAGGATAGGGCACTTTCCTTCATTCTGTTCTGTCCTACCTGGTCCCCAGAAAGGACACAGGGTATCAGATCACTTGGGCCTATGTCTGAAGAGGGAGTGTGGGCTCAGGAGGTGGTGGCCCTGCAGCAAATGTGCCCACTGGTTACAACTCAGGGTCACAAGGACAGTTCAGTTCAGTTCAGTCACTCAGTCATGTCTGACTCTTTGCAACCCCATGAACCGCAGCACACTAGGCCTCCCTGTCCATCACCAACTCCCGGAGTCCAACCAAACCCATGTCCATTGAGTCAGTGATGCCATCCAACCATCTCATCCTCTGTCGTGCCCTTCTCCTCCTGCCCTCAATCTTTCCAAGCATCAGGGTCTTTTCAAATGAGTCAGCTCTTAGCATCAGGTGGCCAAAGTATTGGAGTTTCAGCTTCAACATCAGTCTTTCCAATGAATACCCAGGACTGATCTCTTTTAGGATGGACTGGTTGGATCTCCTTGCAGTCCAAGGGACTCTCAGGAATCTTCTCCGACACCACAGTTCAAAAGCATCAATTCTTTGGCACTCAGCTTACTTTATAGTCCAACTCTCACATCCATACATGACCATTGGAAAAACCATAGCCTTGACGAGATGAACCTTTGTTGACAAAGTATGCCTCTGCTTTTTAATATGCTATCTAGGTTGGTCATAACTTTCCTTCCAAGGAGTAAGCATCTTTTAATTTCATGACTGAAACTTCCATCTGCAGTGATTTTGGAGACCAGAAAAATAAAGTCAGCCACTGTTTCCACTGTTTTCCCATCTATTTGTCATGAAGTGATGGGACCGGATGCCATGATCTTAGTTTTCTGAATGTTGAGCTTTAAGCCAACTTTTTACTCTCCTCTTTCACTTTCATGAAGAGGCTCTTTAGTTCTTCTTCGCTTTCTGCCATAAGGGTGGTGTCATCTGCATATCTGAGGTTATTGATATTTCTCCTGGCTATCTTGATTCCAGCTTGTGCTTCCTCCAGCCCAGCATTTCTCATGATGTACTCTGCATATAAGTTAAATAAGCAAGGATAGCAGAGCTCATTAAATGATCACTAGCTCTCCCCCTCATATTCTAGTCCTTGGCAATTAGCCTTGTGATGAATGCTGGCCAAAAAACATGAGCAGAGAGCACACCACTTCTGGACAGATGCAGTGAAACTCCTGTGTGATTCTCCTGTCTCCCATCTCTGTGGTGGGGCTGGGAGCCTGTGTGGATGCTGTGAGCTTCATGGGTGTGGCTACAAGATAGTAAATCCTCCAACATTTGAGTTAGGATCCTTCCCTCATTCTCTGAGGGGGCCTGTGGTAGGAGATATAAACTCTGCTTGTTCTGAGATACTGAGGTACTGTAACTGTTCATTACCTAGCACAGCCTAGCCTGTCCTGACTACTACATTGCCCTGAAGATGCCGGGAAGGAGAGCAGTCTTCATGTTTGTATTAGGTATCTATTGCTGTGTAACGTGTTATCCCAAAACTTACTGCCTTAAACACAATCAGATATAATCTCACAGTTTCTATGGTTCAGGGCTTAGAGTTGGATCAGCTGAGTCCTCTGGCTCAGGGTCTTCAAGACTGAAATCAGAGCCTTGGCTGTATCAGTATCTTGATTCCAAGAGTTCTCATGGATTGCTAATGGGAGGCAGTTCCTTGGCTATTGGACTGAGGGTGTCATTTCCTCTCTGAATGTTGGCCGGAGGCACCCTCAATTTCTTGTCATGTGGGCCCCTTCTTAGGGCAGCTGACAACATGGCAGCTGAGTTCCTCAGAGTGAACAAGAGTGAAAGTGAAAGAGAGAGAGTGTGAGCAAGAGGAAAGTCACAGTCTTGTATAACCTAGGATCACTCAAGTGACATCCATCACGTCTGCTCTAGTCTAGCCCTAAGCCACTCTCTAGATGCAGCCCCATTCCAGGGGAGGGCACTACATAAGGATGTGAACGTAAGGGGACAGTTAAGAAGCTCCTCCTACAGTTATGCATTTGGTATTGATAGAAAGTATGCTAGGTGATTTTGATCCATGATCTCATTCAATTTATAATGTAGGTGAGGAAACTGCAGATTAGTTAAAGTTACCTACTCAAGGTAACAGTTCACTAGAACTAAGATTTACTAGTAGAATTGCTTCAAAATCATGTTACTAGTTTGCCTCCTAAGAGTCAAGGGAGTATATAGGATGAATTTTGTTTAAAATATAGGTTATATAGTTTTCTCCTTTATTGTTACTGGAAAAAAAAAATATGTTTCTTGTGTCCCATGCCCTAGGCATCTGCAGCACTGGAGTCAAGAGTTCTGGAGCACACAATTCTAGAGTTCAGGATTCTGGATCCCATGTTTCCCTGCAGGGGATCCAAGGAGGTTCTGTGTTGTTTCATCTGACCAAGAATCAAGAAGCTGACCCAGAAGAAGTCTCATGGGGCTTTGGCCCTGAGTCAAACTACAGAGTCCTGCTGCAAGTCCGCCGTGGGGCAGACACCCCAACCTGGGTCGACCTCCAGGACAAGTATCAGCACAGGGTCCATGTGCCCAATGTGACATCCCTGAGGATTGAGAACCTGACCCGAGAGGACAGTGGGCAGTACCGGGCTCGAGCCAGCTTCCCTGGAGGAAGAGAACTTACCCAGGTTTTCCTCCTCACTGTCTATGGTGAGTGACTCCTCCTCACCCCACCCTATGGCTTCCCTCCTGCCTTTGTGATAGGAGTTTCACACAGGCCACATTTTTCAGGATCCCTTCCAGACACCAGCCTTCAGACTCCTTTTCTCCTTTGAATTAGGAAGTTAGTGGTTTACTGCAAATGATGAGAGGAGTTGATATTTACACCAGGGATAAAAGCACTTTAGTATTTTAG